AATTTACATAAGTTAACTGAACATAGTAAATCAGTTATATTATTATGATTCTATTAATTTGTCATGTTTCTCAGTGTTAAATTATTTAGGTAGTTAGTTAAATATTGAATAATGGACTAAGAGCTAAAATTTAGTTCTGATTGTTATAAAACTAATAAAAAAGGAGGGGGAGGAGAGTGAGCAGGGGAGTAGGGGGAGGAAAGAAAGCAAGAGGGAGGGGAAGGAGGTGAGCAAGGGGGAGGGGGGGGGGCGTTGCGCAAGGTGACACACGTGAAAGAATGATACAATTTGGGGTGATGACGTCATTCAATTATCACCGGAAGTCAAATATTTAATCATAGATGTGATTTATTTCTTGGCCAGGTGTTCGTCTGTGTTAATTAATCCTCTCCTTCATTATACCTGTACACCTGTTCCTGAATATATCCCTCTCGTTATCATTATCTCTCTTCCTCTATATTTTATTTCAATTTTCTCTCTTCCTTTTTTTCTATTATCTCTCTCTCTCTCTCTCTCTCTCTCTCTCTCTCTCTCTCTCTACTTTATTCTCGTGTCTCTATCTTCTCCACCTTTCCGTCACTCAGCCCCGGCGTTCCCCAAGGCACCAAGATGGGAACTGCTCTATCTCGACTCCCTACATTATATCGACGACTCCACAATAGGGATCAGCATCGAACACCTTAACTCGACTCCTATTAACCACCTGAGAAACTTAGGGGTCGAGATGTTCAAGATAGCTAGAGAGAGATAGAGATAATAGAGAGATAGAGATATTGATACTGTTCTTTTATTCGTACTGCTATGGATCGACTCTTTTAATAGTAGTAGTAGTAGTAGTAGTAGTAGTAGTAGTAGTAGTAGTAGTAGTAGTAGTAGTAGTAGTACGTAGGGGGAAAGGTGAACGAGTGGGTTAGCGAAATCCATGCTCTATCGGAGATTGCTAACACAGAGCCACATGCGGCCTTTGCAGCATTCACACATGGAGTCAAGCATCGTTGGAACTACCTGATGCGTACCATCCCTGAGATCCGACCCCTCCTCCACCCTTTGGAAGAAGCAATCAGTGTCAAGTTCATTCCCAAACTAGTGAAACACCACGACTTAACCCCAGTAGAAAGAACACTTCTTGCACTTCCACCAAGACTGGGAGGGATGGGACTAACTAATCCAGAGGAGATTGCTGACTCTGAACATCAAAATTCACTTAAGCTCACGGCAGCCCTCACTGACCACATAATAGCCCAGAATGCAACAGGGGAAGTGGACACCAGCGAAGTTAATAAGATCCGTAGATCCATTACAACAGATCGGCAGCACTGCCAAAATGACATGTTGCAGCAACTATTGCTGCAGGTTCCAGAAAATTTGACAAAAAAAGTAGCTATAGCGCAGGAGGTGGGCGCCTCGAACTGGTTAACTACGTTACCGATAAGGGCAAATGGTTTCAGCCTTAACAAACAAGAATTTACAGATGCCATTGCTCTAAGGTACGGTTGGCCAGTAGATGGTTTGCCCTCCCAATGCGTGTGTGGCTATTCCTATGATGGCGATCACGCCATGGTTTGCAAGAAGGGGGGCTTCATATGCATGAGGCATGACGAGGTAAGGGATCTCACAGCAAATATGTTGAAGGAAACCTGCCGGGACGTCATGGTAGAACCGACCCTCCTTCCACTGGATGGCGAGATCCTCCAACACAGGACTTCAAACACATCTAACGAAGCCCGTGTGGACGTCAGTGCTCGAGGATTCTGGACGCGGGGACAGCGAGCCTTCTTCGACATCAGGATTTTTGATCCCATGGCCGTTTGTCACCGTAACCTAGCTCTCGATGCTGCACATAGGAGGAACGAGAACGACAAGAGAAGGGCATATGGGGAGAGAATTCAAAATGTCGATCAAGGCAGCTTCACTCCGCTAGTGTTCACAACCTCTGGTGGGATGGGCCCAAGCGCAAGATGTTTCTACGCCAGACTCGCGGAGCTGATCTCCGAACAGAAGCAGCAGCCCAGAAGTTATGTCACAGCCTGGATGAGATGTCGACTGTCCTTCTCTCTCCTTCGGTCGGCTTTGCTCTGCCTCAGGGGAACGAGAGCTTCTGCCCCTACTCCGTCAACTGCTGCAGATATCGACTATGAGGCTACAGTCACCGAATGCCGCATCGATCTGCGGCTCAACTAATTTAACACAGATAGGATAGTTGCTTATGTATTAGGATATTTAATATTAAGGTAAATAAATGGTGGCGAAGGTGTGGCTATTGGGGGAGGCTGTAGTAGTAGTAGTAGTAGTAGTAGTAGTAGTTGAGGTGTTATCTGAACGGAAACAGCAGCCCAGAAGCTACGTTGCAGCCTGTGTGATAATTACTGTTAAATTGTGTGTGTAATTCATGAATTTATCAACACCTGAGCTTGCTTTAGTTTTGGGTGACTATCTCCTCCCTGTGATAACAATAAAACCACCTCATCAAGTTTGCCATGAACCTAGAGAATGTTCCGACATAGTGGTGTTCATATTGATAATTAAATCTATCTATCTATCTATCTATTTATCTATCTATCTATCCATCTATCTGTCTGTCTAACTTGGTTTTATTTTTATTTTAATATTATAACAGGTCAGGACGTGGGACCGGATTAACCCTTTGAGTTCTGTTGTTTTAAATCATTGCTCTCAGAGAGTTTAAAGAGCTGATATATTAAGACACTAACCTAACCTAACTTAACCTAACCTAACCTAACCTAACCTAACCTTCACACTGACCTTTCTTCTGTCGAGCGTCAGTTTAGCTGCGTCTGTTCACTCGTATGAAAGAGGCTTTAGAGTGTGTGTGTGTGTGTGTGTGAAAGCGTCTCTGTATTTCAATGTTCAGGATGATGAACGGCTGAGAGAGAGAGAGAGAGAGAGAGAGAGAGAGAGAGAGAGAGAGAGAGAGAGAGAGAGCTCTAACAGAAAAAAACGAAAATTGTTATCGCTTCCTGAGAGATTAGCGGTAATACTCGATGTTTCTGTGCTTGGACCGCACCAGTACAGTCTAGGAACGCTTCAGTGTTGGTCGCCAATGCACTTAGTGGTTGGCAGCGTTAAGCTCTCCCCCGACCCAGTCATTTGAGGTAACAGTGAGATCATCAACATAACGCCATTAACGACAGTGGTAAGTTTGCGTTAGTTGGTTAATTAAAGCAAATAATTAAAAACTGATTACACGGATAATTAATTATTGTCCGTGGCGTCTTGGTGAACGACGAAGTAATCGGGAAGGAAGAAACTGGCTTCGGCATACAGTCAAAAATCATCAGCAGAAATGCATCAACAGTCATCTCACACTGTCGGTGGAGGAGCAGACATCAGAGGTGGACGCCGAGCAGCAGACACCAGAGATGGACGCCAGCCACCTCACTGCGGCTCCTACAGACAGACGAGGAGATCCTACCGCGTCCTTCTAGGATCTGTCATAATGTTGATGTTAAAAGCCAGAGGTGTGACAGGAATCACCACTACCATCAGTGATGTCACTACTAGCACCAGTGATGCCGACACTAGCTCCACGGATGTCACCAATAGCACCACTTATATCTCCACTAGTTCCAATGATGTCACCACTAGTTCCACTGATGCCATCACTAGCTCCAGTGATGTCATCACTAGCTCCACTGATGGCACCACTAGTTCCACTCATGTCACCACTAGTTCCATTGATGTTGTCACTAGCTCCACTGATGCCACCACTAGTTCCACTGATGCCATCACTAGCTCCACTGATGCCACCACTAGCTCCACTGATGCCATCACTAGCTACACTGATGCCACCACTAGTTCCACTGTTCCACTGATGCCACCACTAGCTCCACTGATGCCACCACTAGCTCCACTGATGCCACCACTAGCTCCACTGATGCCACCACTAGCTCCACTGATGCCACCACTAGCTCCACTGATGTCATCACTAGCTCCACTGATACCACCACTAGTTCCACTGATGCCACCACGAGTTCCACTGATGAAATTTCAAGTTCCACTAAAGCCACCACTAGCTCCACTGATGCCACCACTAGTTCCACTGATGTCACCGCTAGTTCCACTAATGCCATCACCAGTTCCACTGATGCCACCACTAGTTCCACTGATGCCATCACTAGCTCCACTGATGAAATTACTAGCTCCATTGAAGCCACCACTAGCTCCACTGATGCCACCACTAGTCCCACTAATGAAATTACTAGCTCCACAGACGCCACCACTAGCTCCACTGATGCCACCACTAGTTCCACTGATGCCACCACTAGCTCCACTGATGAAATTACTAGCTCCACTGATGCCAACAATAGTCCCACTGATGAAATTACTAGCTTCACTAATGCCACCACTAGCTCCACTGATGCCACCACTAGCTTCACTGATGCCACCACTAGTTCTACTGACGCCACCACTAGTTCCACTAATGCCATCACTAGTTCCACTGATGCCACCACTAGTTCTACTGATGCACCACTAGTTCCACTAATGCCATCACTAGTTCCACTGATGCCACCACTAGTTCTACTGATGCCACCACTAGTTCCACTAATGCCATCACTAGTTCCACTGATGCCACCACTAGATTCTACTGATGCCACCACTAGTTCCACTAATGCCATCACTAGTTCCACTGATGCCACCACTAGTTCTACTGATGCCACCACTAGTTCCACTAATGCCATCACTAGTTCCACTAATGCCACCACTAGTTCTACTGATGCCACCACTAGTTCCACTAATGCCATCACTAGTTCCACTGATGCTACCACTAGTTCCACTGATGCCAAAACTAGTTCTACTGGTGCCATCACTAGCTCCACTGATGAAATTACTAGCTCCACTTATGCCACCACTAGCTCCACTGATGCCACCACTAGCTCCACTGATGCCACCAATAGTTCCACTGATGCCATCACTAGCTCCAGTGATGTCATCACTAGCTCCACTGATGCCACCACTAGTTCCAGTGATGTTTTCACTAGCTACACTGATGCCATCACTAGTTCAACTGATGCCCACCACTCCACTGATGCCACCTGGACTATCACTAGCTCTCTAGTGCGATCACTGAAGCCCACTAATGCCACCACTAGTTCCACAGATGCCACACTAGTTCCACTGATGCCATCACTAGCTCCACTGATGCCACCACTAGCTCCACTGATACCATGACAAGCTCCACTAATGCCATCACTAGCTCCTCTGTTGCCATCACTAGCTCCACTGATGCCACCACTAGTTCTACTGATGCCACCACTAGTTCCATTGATGTTGTCACTAGCTCCACTGATGCCACCACTAGCTCCACTGATGCCACGACTAGTTCCACTAATGACTTCACTAGTTCCACTGATGCCATCACTAGTTCCACTGTTGTCATCACTAGTTCCATTGATGCCAAAACTAGTTCCACTGATGCCATCACTAGTTCCACTGTTGTCATCACTAGTTCCACAGATGCCACGACTAGTTCCACTGATGCCATCACTAGCTCCACTGATGCCACCACTAGCTCCACTGATGCCACCACTAGTTCCACTGATGCCACCACTAGTTCCATTGATGTTGTCATTAGCTCCACTGAAGCCACCACTAGCTCCACTGATGCCACGACTAGCTCCACTAATGACTTCACTAGTTCCACTGATGCCATCACTAGTTCCACTGATGTCATCACTAGTTCCACTGATGCCATCACTAGTTCCACTGATGTGATCACTAGCTCCACTGATACCACCACTATTTCCAGTGATGTTGTCACTAGCTCCACTGACGCCATCACTAGTCCCACTGAAGCCACCACTAGTTCCACTAATGCCATCACTAGCTCCACTGATGTGATCACTAGCTCCTCTGATGCCATCACTAGCTCCACTGATGCCACCACTAGTTCCACTGATGCCATCACTAGTTCAACTGATGCCACCACTAGTTCATCTGATGCCATCACTAGCTCCACTGATGCCACCACTAGTTCCACTGATGCCATCACTAGTTCAACTGATGCCACCACTAGTTCCACTGATGCCATCACTAGCTCCAGTGTTGCCATCACTAGCTCCACTGATGCTATCACTAGCTCCTCTGATGCCATCACTAGCTCCACTGATGCCAC